GGCCTAAAGCCATGCTGTCATTCACTCATTTGCATCACTGGTTGGGGCTAAAGCCATACTGTCATTCACTCATTTGCATCACTGGTTGGGGCTAAAGCCATGCTGTCTTTCACTCATTGTATCACTGATAGAGGCTAAATGCATCCTGTCATTCACTCATTGTATCACTGGTAGAGGCTAAAGCCATGCTGTCATTCACTCATTTGCATCACTGATTGGGGCTAAAGCCAAACTGTCATTCACTCATTTGCATCACTGGTTGAGGCTTAAGCAATGCTGTCATTCACTCATTTGCATCACTGGTTGGGGCTAAAGCCATGCTGTCATTCACTCATTTGCATCACTGGTTGGGGCTAAAGCCATGCTGTCAATCACTCATTTGCATCACTGGTTTGGGCTAAAGCCATGCTGTCATTCACTCATTTGCATCACTGGTTGGGGCTAAAGCAATGCTGTCATTCACTCATTTGCATCATTGGTTGGACCTAAAGCCATGCTGTCATTCACTCATTTGCATCACTGGTTGGGGCTAAAGCCATGCTGTCATTCACTCATTGTATCACTGGTAGAGGCTAAAGCCATGCTGTCATTCACTCATTTGCATCACTGATTGGGGCTAAAGCCAAACTGTCATTCACTCATTTGCATCACTGGTTGAGGCTTAAGCAATGCTGTCATTCACTCATTTGCATCACTGGTTGGGGCTAAAGCCATGCTGTCATTCACCCATTTGCATCACTGGTTGGGGCTAAAGCCATGCTGTCAATCACTCATTTGCATCACTGGTTTGGGCTAAAGCCATGCTGTCATTCACTCATTTGCATCACTGGTTGGGGCTAAAGCAATGCTGTCATTCACTCATTTGCATCATTGGTTGGACCTAAAGCCATGCTGTCATTCACTCATTTGCATCACTGGTTGGGCCTAAAGCCATGCTGTCATTCACTCATTTGCATCACTGGTTGGAGCTAATGCCATGCTGTCATTCACTCATTTGCATCACTGGTTGGGCCTAAAGCCATACTGACATTCACTCATTTGCATCACTGGTTGGGGTTAATGCCATGCTGTCATTCACTCATTTGCATCACTGGTTGGGGCTAAAGCCATACTGTCATTCACTCATTTGCATCACTGGTTGGGGCTAAAGCCATGCTGTCATTCACTCATTGTATCACTGATAGAGGCTAAATCCATACTGTCATTCACTCATTGTATCACTGGTAGAGGCTAAAGCCATTCTGTCATTCACTCATTTGCATCACTGGTTGGGGCTAAAGCCATACTGTCATTCACTCATTTGCATCACTGGTTGGGGCTAAAGCCATACTGTCATTCACTCATTTGCATCACTGGTTGGGGCTAAAGCCATACTGTCATTCACTCATTTGCATCACTGGTTGGGGCTAATGCCATACTGACATTCACTCATTTGCATCACTGGTTGGGGCTAATGCCATGTTGTCATTCACTCATTTGCATCACTGGTTGGGGCTAAAGCCATACTGACATTCACTCATTTGCATCACTGGTTGGGGCTAATGCCATGTTGTCATTCTCTATTTGCATCACTGGTTGGGCCTAAAGCCATGCTGTCATTCACTCATTTGCATCCCTGGTTGGGGCTAAAGCCATGCTGTCATTCACTCATTTGCATCACTGGTTGGGGCTAAAGCCATACTGACATTCACTCATTTGCATCACTGGTTGGGGCTAATGCCATGTTGTCATTCTCTATTTGCATCACTGGTTGGGCCTAAAGCAATGCTGTCATTCACTCATTTGCATCACTGGCTGGGCCTAAAGCCATGCTGTCATTCACTCATTTGCATCACTGGTTGGGGCTAATGCCATGCTGTCATTCACTCATTTGCATCACTGGTTGGGGCTAATGCCATGTTGTCATTCTCTATTTGCATCACTGGTTGGGCCTAAAGCCATACTGTCATTCACTCATTTGCATCACTGGTTGGGGGCTAAAGCCATGCTGTCATTCACCCATTTGCATCACTGGTTGGGGCTAAAGCCATGCTGTCATTCACTCATTGTATCACTGATAGAGGCTAAATCCATACTGTCATTCACTCATTGTATCACTGGTAGAGGCTAAAGCCATTCTGTCATTCACTCATTTGCATCACTGGTTGGGGCTAAAGCCATGCTGACATTCACTCATTTGCATCACTGGTTGGGGCTAAAGCCATGCTGTCATTCACCCATTTGCATCACTGGTTGGGGCTAAAGCCATGCTGTCATTCACTTATTTGCATCACTGGTTTGGGCTAAAGCCATGCTGTCCTTCACTCATTTAGATCACTGGTTGGGGCTAAAGCCATGCTGTCATTCACTCATTTGTTTCACTGGTTGGGGCTAAAGCCATGCTGTCATTCACTCATTTGCATCACTGGTTGGGCCTAAAGCCATGCTGTCATTCACTCATTGGCATCACTGGTTGGGGCCTAAATCCATGCTGTCATTCACTCATTTGCATCTCTGGTTGGGGCTAAAGCCATGCTGTCATTCACTCATTTGCATCACTGGTTGGGGCTAAAGCCATGCTGTCATTCACTCATTTGTATCACTGGTTGGGGCTAGAGCCATGCTGTCATTCACTCATCTGCATCACATGTTGGAATATTGCTGAGTGCGGCGTAAAACAACAAACCAACAAATACATTGAGGCTATACCAAATCGGGACACAATGAAGTGATTCCGGGATAATGGTAGTTTTAACTTTTCCATAAGCTACCGAACTGTCATGAAACATCTCCATCTGAAAGGGCTAACTCCAACACCCACCCATGCTGTCAACTTCAGCGGATGATGTTGCTTTCCTCAGGGAGTGAGCAGTCGAGTTCATGAGGGAAAGATCATGCAAGGTCATGAACACCTTCAACTGCCATCACTCAGGATAATGTTGTTAAAATATATGTTTATGGATGATCGACGACCCACTACGTCACTTAGCCAATACATTAGGCATCTTCTTGTTTGTTTGTTTGTTTGTTTGTTTGTTTGTCGTTTAACGCCGCACTCAGCAATATTCCAGCTATATGACGGCGGTCTGTAAATAATCGAGTCTGGACCAGATAATCCAGTGAACGACTTCATGAGCATCAATCCACGCAATTAGGATACGATGACATGCATCAACCAAGTCAGCGAGTCAGACCACCCGATCCCGTTAGTCACCTCTTACAAGCATAGTCGCCTTTTACGGCAAGCATGAGTTGCTGAAGACCTGTTCTACCCCGGATCTTCACGGGTCATCTATAATGAGAGTTGGAAACATTTTGAGGAGCGAATTGAGCATGACAAAGTTTCAGCAAGATGGGTTTCAAGGCTTCCGACTCTTGATCAGAAACGATGCTGGTTCATCATCTTTAGTGAGAATTTGCGTCGTTTTGAAGCAGACCCAGCGGATTGTGTTGAGCGATTTGTAACCATAGACGAGTCTTGGGTTCATAACTCAGGCAGACGAGACAACAGTCAAGCAGTGTTAACATCTAAGGTCTCCCGAAAGATATTATGCCAATATCATGATAATGTGACGATATGCGTGAAGATATCAAAGCTAAACGTCGTGGAAAACTCACAAAAGGAACTCACAAAAGGTGCTTTTGTTCCACTTGTGCACAAGCATTTGTGTCGCCATGGCTGCAGTGTATGACTGTGGCTTTGAAGCATGAAACTTCCTCTGTATTCACCAGATTTCCACATCTTCCCAAAATGGAAGGTGAGTAAGTGAGTGAGTGAGTATGTTTTTACGCCGCTTTTAGCAATATTCCAGCAATACCACTGCGGCGGGACACCAGAAATGGGCTTCACCCATTGTGCCCATGTCAGGAATCGAACCGGTGTCTTCGGCGTGACGAGCGAAAACTAGGCTACCTGACCGCCCCCAAAATGGAAGGAGGCGAGGTTCAGAACAATTGCACTAATATAGCGATTAACGTGCATGCACAGTCTGCAGCGTCACCGAGATACTATGCGGCTTGAATACCATGCTCACAATATACTGACCCCAAGCCAACCGCCATGCAGGGTAACGAGTACAATCTTTACCTCTTCAGGACTGATGCGACTAGGGATCAAACCACCGACCATCCGCTCTCAGGCACTCTCTTACAAGCATTATGCAAATGTCATTTTCTGCTGTGGAGGTCTTTATACACCACCAAGAGAAGTATTCTATACACCAGTGGGATCAAGGAACTCAACCATCGTTGGCATGAGTGTGTACATCAAAGGTGTGGATCACCACCTTATATTTTAAATACCCGTACAAGGTGTGATACCTATCTCTTGTCTCAATGTGTAATAGTCAATCACGGTTGTCTCGAAGTAAAAGCATGGTCGTTGAGTAATCACTCATTATTGGTTGTGTCGAACCTTAAACTCTTTGGTCACCTCAACTTCGACCCAACCATGTTTTACGATTTCAAACAGTAAAACAATACTTGCTCACTGTTTTATGTATGTTTTTGGCTGAGTGAATGTTGAACTCCATTGGTTAATTCCCCCTGTATCAGAATTTGATACTCTAATATGATGAAGCCAGTCAAAACCAAGCCATAAATGTGAAAATCTTGTGCATAAGCATCACTTGTATCTCTCCTATCTACCAAACCCTGTGGTTCAATACATTAACACAAAAATATCAACTATGCACTGATGAGAAAGACCCGTTTTGTTTCTCCAGAAGAGCAAACACTTTAACCACTCGGCCAACCCCAGCAAACCATGCTCGTTGCAAGAGGCTCGTCGCAAGAGGCAGCAAGAGGCAACAAACGTGGACAAACAGGATCGTGGTCAGGTTTGCCAACTTAGGCAATATATGTCATTGAACCCCAACTGCATGGACCAACAATGTCAATCATTGGATTGTCTGGTCAAGACTTGTTTACTTACAGACCACTGAGTGCGGTGACAAACAAACTAAACCAGAGCCTACACGAGACAATATAGTCCTTAGCACAAAGACAACAAGAGCCATGTGGAGTTCATACATCTCAGTCTTTATGTCATCCCAGCAATTGACGACCTCACAGTGGGTAGTACAAATACAATGTTATCTTTACAAATTGGCAAAACTTGTATCACAGTGGATAGTTTGAGTAGGGCCGGCATCACAGAATTTCTCACTTCCACGAAAGACAAATAAATATTCTATCATAAAAATATCCTAGGAATGAGAAGGGCTTGTTCTGTTGAAAATTAATTCAGTCGTGTGTTTAGAACAAGCATGGAATTTGATTGACTTTCATTCTGCAGTCAACATTCTATTTGAGATCTGATCATGGTTCATCCAATACGAAGCACAAGCAACAAGCTGGCCAATATAAGTCTTCAAATCGACTGGAATAATCCATCTTCAACCTTTCCGATTCTCATGCAACATTAGGATTTTATTCTTACAACTGACATAAAATCATTCTTTTAAACTATGTGGCAAAGAATTTGTCAAACTATTAGTCTTCATTATTGGAATTCTCAAACAGAGTTTTATACAGATTACAAACCACATACTTGAAAAAAATACTTTTATGGGACTATATATTGATGATTTTCCTTATATGACATTCGGAATCCCTCTACTGAATGAACAGTTGCCCAACATTTGAACAAAGCTATTACGACTCACATACGACTAGAGTTGAGTCGTATTGGAGACAAGCACTTTGAATGCTGCTGCGCCATGTATAAGAACCTGTTGTTGTACTGATGGGTTTGAAAGGCAAGGGATGCCAGCCCGATTAAGGTACTTGACATGTGCCACTAGCACTCCACTGAAACTCTTCAGGCAGAGCTGGAAGGAAGCAACATCATTCAACAGGAAGCACCTACAGTCGTTCCACAAAGCACTCGGGCACCCTGTCAAATTGAGCACTTCCTTCAAAACAAAATACTGTTCAAAGGGCATTTAAAACAATGTTGTTCCAACAAATAGCACATGTGATGCTTATATAGCACTGTTAATCACTTCTTCTTGAGCTGAAGCCACGAGCGGCCATTGTTTGGGGTCCAGCTGAGGACCGCTGTTATCAACTGATGTTGCAGGCACACTCCTTCCCTCACAGGTTTTGGTGAATTTCAGTGATTGAGGAGGGGTGGTCACCTGGACAACTGTCACTATGACAACCCCTCGATCAGATCTGAACTGCGAACACTCTCCTTTCGCACGTGACAATCTCTCTTTGCTGAGATGAAGCATTCACTCGCGCAATCGTTCATCATTCAGCCATAGGCATAGGAGACCGTCGCGGTCAACATGGTAGTAGTCAAAGGCAGACCAAGACAGCTGCCCACTCGCATCAATTTCATCTGGAAGGAGAACAAAAAAAAATATGTCACCTGATCAAAAAAACATGTTATGCTGGTGAATGAATAGTGTTTTACACTACAGTACTGTACCGAAAGAAAGGCTTGGACTAGGGGCTTATGTCACAGGCTGATGAGGTAACTATTTTCACAATATTACTGAGTAAGCTAAATGTGAAAAGAAAGTTTAAAATAAAAATCTATCTCTTTCTTGAAAACCACAAGCATAGGTATGATACTGACAAACCAATGACTTGGACTCGTGAATATGAACCAATGATCATTGCATCACAGCTTGATTTTGTTTGTTTAACGCCACACTCAGCAATATTCCAGGTATACGACGGCGGTCTGTGTATAATCAAGTCTGGACCAGACAATCCAGTGATTGACATCATGAGCATTGATCTACTTAATTGGGATACAATGACATTCATCAACCAAGTCAGCGAGCCTGACCACCTGATCCCGTCAGTTGCCTTTTACGACAAGCATGGGTTGCTGAAGACCTATTCTACCCCGGATCTTCATGGTGGGATCACAGGTTAAAGCTCTTTGGACTACTGGGGCACTTGTGCCCTCATTTCACCTTAGAAAGAGCAACTTACGATGAAGCATTCTTCATTTTTCTTATTTCCTTAGTTGCCCATGTAGCCAGGGTTTTGGCCTTTGTTAGTTTGGACCTCCTCCCCAGTGTGAGGAGGTTCTGGATGCTCTCCTTCTCCACCATCGGGAGCATGCTGTTGCCGAACGCTGTACTCAAATCACTGCAAACACAAATACAGTGGGATTACTCTTTGCCACACAGATATGCAGATAGGCCAAAACCATACTGAAGCAATATCTTGGATAAATGGTATCAAAAATTTGTAATTAATGGAGAAAAGGAGCCGGGATAGAAAGAAAAATTGACATATTCTGTGCCCATCTGCTCAGTAACGCTGAGGGGCCAATTGATCCAGAGGTTGGACGTAACTCGTAGTTAACTAATGTCTGTCAGACTTACCCTATAAGTCCACAGCAGGCAGCTATATTACTGTCCGTCTTGTCCTCGTCCACCGCTATATGCTCGATGAAGGAGATCATGTGTGCAACATGAGGCTGTAGAATGTTCACCTCAGCTGAAGCAATAAGACAATATGTCAACACCTATATGAAAAGACAATATGCCATACACCTACACTGAGACAACAAGACAATCTGTTGACACCTAGGCGACAAGACAATTGACGCTTTGATAGCGGGATAACATTTGCATACACCGAGACAACATAAATTGACACCCAACTTGTGAAGAGGGATAATAGGGTGGGGCCTTGTGCTTTTCAGCCCTTAAACTTTAGAAAAATAGAAGGCTCACATTTTTAAATACAATGGGCCATCTTAACAGTGTCCTGTATGGTGAGGTGAGGTGAAATGGGGTTTAACGTCGCGTCCAAGATTATTGCACTTATATAGCGACGTGCATGTACGTGTGTGTTTGTGTGGCTGTTTGTACTAGTCCGGACTGATGCCGATTTATAGTGCTAGCTCACTGAGATACCATGCCACAGTTTAACATGAATACCCCACTCAGACACACTATACTGACTCCTGGCCGACCAGTCCTTATTATAGCCCCTTAATGCCGAGCGCCAGACAGGGTAACAAGAAGTACCACCTTTAAACGTCTTTTGGTATGACGCGGTCAGGGATCGATCCCCGGACCTTCCGCTCTCCAGGCAGACACTACCACTAGACCACAGAGGCGGTCTCGTGTCCTGTATGGACGTAACTCTGGAATATTTGAAATTTTCACATAAAGGGTCCATGTCAGAAAAATCCTAGAATGAACCCTGTGTTTAGCATATTTAAAGCCACAGTTGGCAATATTCCAGCATTGTCACAGCTGCCAATTATAATCTGGGGCCAGACTCAACCAGGGGTCTCCTGCAGCTGTATCTCTTGGTAGAACTTACTACTGATTTGTTCTCCATCGCCTTTCAATCCCTGCACGATGCCAGTATAGGCCTCCAGACAGCCCTCTCGCAGTTCATTCAGATAGTCAATCATGTCGTAGTCGGTCTACAAACAAGTATTGAAAAATTTCAAATAGATTCACTCGGGGAATGGTTTGTTACCTAATCAGTCACAACTATTCTTACAGATTCATTTGACTGGATAAAAAGTTTCACCCCCTTGATCATATAGTGTTTGTAGTTTAACACAGCACTCAGCAATATTCCAGCTATATCACGGCGGTCTGTAAATAATCGAGTCTTGACCAGACAATCTGGTGACTGACATTTTGAGCATCAATCTATGTAAATGTTATCAAACTGTGGGTACTTCAACATTATGTGCACATGTTCCTGGAACATTTCATTGCAATGTGTCATTAACTAATGCAATACTGGCAGAACACCTCCATCAAGTTCTTTATATTGAGGCCTGTTTTACTTATAGGCAGGTCGAAGTGATGCAGGTCTGAGTGAGTGAGTGAGTGAGTGAGTTGGGTTTAACGCCGCTTTTAACAGTATTCCAGTTATATCGCAGCGTGTCAGCTTAATGTGGGAGGAAAGCAGGAAGTGATGCAGGTCTCAGACGTTTACCACTTCAGTGAAACTCACGAGCACGGGTATGGTGCTGACAAACCTAGAAACATAGGGAACCGGGATTCAAACCCACAACTCAGGTTGTTGTAATTGCTGACTGTTGATGAAAGGAAGGAGTTACCTTATCTACTTGAGCTTGTGATGCCTGCTGTAGGGTACCAAGCACAAACTCCAGGTAGTTTCGGAACTGTGGGCCAATGGCAAGAGCTATATCACCAAACACTGACAAGATCTGTGGTTTGACGGATCGGTGTACACTTTCGTTCTGAAACAAGAAAAAACCCAGATTACAACAGTAGTTGGAACGGGGAATCACTGTTTGTGGTGTCGTAGTGCTTCATTTAGAACTTGTCACATAACCTAAATATTCTTCATGTTTTCTGATACATATCTACATTACACTAACAAATCTTACAATGTTATGATAATAAATCCTGTCCACACCACAATCATCTCAGAAAGACTAATAGTAGGATCATTGCGTATCACTCCAAGAAAGGCAATGGAATTCATCACAGATGATTGTGGAGGAACGAGACAGGTTTTACACACCTTTGGGCCATATTCCTGCTAACAGCAGGGGACAAAAGTAGGGGCTTTACCAATGGTACACGTGGAACCATACAACAATGACATATATAAATAAACCCCATCATCCCAATTTGGGTAGATCCTTGTTTGCCAAGCTGAGCTTTTGTTTTGTTTTGTTTGTTGTTGAACATCGCAATCAGCAATATTCCAGCTGTGACGGTGGCCTGTAATAATCGAATCTGGACCAGACAATCCAATGATTGATATTGTGAGCAACGATCCACGCCATCAACCAAATCACCGAGCACCCAATCCATCTGGTCATCTCATACATAGGTTGCCGTGGACCTACTGTAAACCAGAATCCCTGCAGTGTGACAAGCTGACATAGCAGGAGCAAGATCCACACTAGTTTGTGCATCGAGCGTTAGATGAGGAAAACCCGAGCTGATGTAGGTTATAGAGTGATTGACTTGGGTTTAACGCCACTTTGAACAGTATTCCAGTTATATCATGGCGTGTCAGCTTGAAGTGGAAAGAGATGCAGGTCTTAGAAGTTTACTATTTTCGTGAAACCCACAGGTATGGTGCTGACAAACCTAGAAACATAATTGGGCGAACTGGGATTTGACAAACGATCATGAATAGTGGCACCTTGACAACTTGGCCACCAATGCCCCCAAAAATGGTATTGAATCTACCAATAGTACGAGAGTGGTGTAAGTTGATATGTTAGATTGTCACGATCCATGGACATAACATAGCTTGTAAAAAGTCATTGGGTGTCATTATTTCAACTTGAAACCTCATTGTTATTCACGGCAAACAATATACATCTCACGTTTCTATCAATGTTGTCAAATTGTTACCTTTAACATGTTAATTGAAAGACACCACAGTCATCTCAGAAAGACTAATAATAGGATCATTATCTATCACTCCAAGAAAGGCAATGGAATTCATCACAGATGACTGTATTGGTCTGAGATTTAATCAATGGGGGAAGATGGAGGCTTCGCGATGTAGAGAATCCTCACCAAAATCACCTACACAGATGGTAGTCAGCAAAACACAGGTACATCATTGCGCCTTACAATGTCCTACTGGTGAGTTATTTTACCTCACGGTTAGCACGATATGTGCTGTACAACAGGGGCTTGCAATAATCAAGTCTGGTCCAGACAACTCAGTGATTTATGTAACCATGACAACATTCCACACTGTTGAGGAACAATGACACTCAATCACCAATTCACTGAGCCAACACAATAGATCCAATTTAGTTTCCTCTTATGACAAGCACTTGAGTGACGGGGACCTATTCTATCCTGGGACATATGGGGTAGTCCTACCAGGCTAAACAATGGTAGGCTTTAATAGGGACAAAACCTGGATCAAAGGAAGTCAATGTAACAATCCAATTCTTATATGGCCGGCCTTCCTGTAGTATAAACTTAGACCTCTTTTCACTCATGCAAAGTTATATACATTTCTTATTTCTATAAATGTTATGAAATTGTTTTAATTATGACACCACAGTTATCTCAGAAACATAGTAATAGGATCATTGTTGATCACTCCAAGAAAGGCAATGGAATTCATCATAGATGACTGTGTTGGTCTGAGATGTTACAGCATGAAAGAGTGAGTGAGTGAGCGAGAGGTTTTACGCCGCTTTTAGCAATATTTCAGCAAATTCACGGCGGGGGACACCACAAATGGGCTTCACACATTGTACCCATGTCAGGAATCAGACCTGAGTCTTCGGCGTGACGAGCGAACGCTTTACTCACTAGGATACCTGACTGCCCCTACAGCAAGAAAGAAAAGGGAGGCTTCTTGACTTAGAAGATCCTCACCACAACAAGACACACAGATCATAGACCAAGGACTACCAGTTAGTTGTTTTGCATCACAGTCAGCAATCTTCCAGCTATAAGATGACGGCCTGGAAATAATTAAGTGATCAATATAATGAACAACAATCCACACTGACCGGGTATGGTGACACATAATGAACCAAGCCACCAATTAGGGGCCTCATACGATCAGAATGGTTTGTGGGTGACCTATTCCAACACGGAATTTCCAGTGTTCTCAAATTAAGAAATCAATCTTCACAGCATCAGGGCATGTTTATTTGTGACAGTTGGAATGTTATTTCTAATCATGCAACCTCGAAAACTTAAACATGGGGTATTCCGAACGATAGTTACGGGCTTAACGACTGAATCCACACAATCTAGACCATCTATTAGCCATTCCAGAATGTTCTTTTGTTCAGGTTTCAAATGTTTAATCGAGAATTTGACAATATGTTTTGAAGTGTAGTCGCCAATTTGAAATTCGTGTCGTAAAGCACAAGAAAGCAGCCTTCTGATTGGCTAATGTCGACTTATTGTCAGTCATTCCAGTCAAAGTTCACGCAAGGTCGGTCTGACATGACCCATAATGGGGTGTTCTCACTTGTTTGTTTAGCGGTTTTGAGAACTAAGATCCGATTTTAATGAGATTGTCTTAACATTTACTTCAATCAAAATTATTACACCAAAGTCATCTCAGAAAGACTAATAATAGGATCATTGTTTATCACCCCAAGAAAGGCAATGGAAATCATCACAGATGACAGTAGTAATTTCTGATTCAATCCAACATCAATCAGCGAGGTCAAACAATGGAAACCACTCCATCTACCTCTGTATCTTCTCTAATGAAGAGAATGGGCGACTGGGGATCGATTGTACCGAGGAATCCCCTAGAAGACGGAGGCACTCGGCTTGGTGACAACTTCACTTGAAGTATATTCTGTACCTGATTCAACATGACTTTATTCCACTGTATATCAAGGTTCAAACAACTAATAACATTAAATCCTATTTAGGATACTTGTTTGTAATGAGCATTAATAGATATATCACTGTCACCTGTAAACAAGCATGTATGGGATATTCAAAAGAGACAAAGAGGGAGCAATGTGCCACAACAGCAGGTTCAATAACCCAGTCCCTTCCAATGACAAGCACTCATCGTGCAGGGGACCTTTTCTAACCAGTCCCAAAGGCAGACATATTTCTTGAATAACAAGATAAAAATGGGTGACACAATTAGCATGTAAGTAATAATTTCACAAACAGAAAACATGATTAGACCCTGTGTACAGCCCAAATAACCACTGACCCATCAATCAGGAGATCTATGTATAACCTGGCAGACACTTGATCTATTCCTACAGATACTACCCCTTAATAGGAAATTGAATTTTTTTCAGTTAACATATATGCTAACTGGTCCTAATATTTGAAATGTCTCAACAGTGCAAATTCAACAATAATTTGATAAATAATTAGATAAATCATTTACCACAAAGTGAAGCACACCACAATCATCTCAGAAAGACTAATAAAAGGATCATTGCATATCACTTCAAGGAAGGCATAGGAAATCATCACAGACAATTGTGGTGCGCAGATGTCACGACAGCAAAAACTGTACAACTGGATAAGGTAAGAAATACATTCTGCAGATGTTACGAGAATGTTAACCTAAGGCAAAGACTCCATTGACTGAAGAAAGAAGTCAAACAAGGAGAGCTAAGAATCAGAAACAAATCTTGTGGCAAAATATGACCAGCTATTGATGTTATAAGCTTCAGTTAGCAGGAACTTTCAGACGAGATGTGTTCATGATGGTGAAACTAACGCAAACATGTTCGACTTGGGCGTGTCTGACCCAGCAGGTTTGGGGTGTGTGTACAGATTCAGACTCATGGGAAGAGAGTACTCACTCGGAGGTTCTCCATGAGCAGCAGCATCAGGTCGTTGCAGTACGGAAACACCTTGTTCCCCAGGGCCCGACACAGGTCACCCACCAGACCCACTGCCGCCACACACACCTGCCAGCATGAGCAAATAGAATTCAGAATGGCTAAAAATGTCAAAGAAAGAGTTGACTTGAATCTGACATGATCTTTTTTACATACTTTAATCTATAATTATGTTGGTTGGTTGGTTGGTTTGTTGTTTAATGCCGCACTCAGCAATATTCCAGCTATATGACGGCGGTCTGTAAATAATCGAGTCTGGAGCAGACAATCCAGTAATTGACATCATGAGCATCCATCCACACAATTGGGATCGATGACATGCATTAACCAAGTCAGCGAGCCTGACCTTCCGATCCTGTTAGTCGCCTTTTACGACAAGCATAGTCACCTTTTACAGCAAGCATGGGTTGCTGAAGACCTATTTTACCCCGGAATCTTCACGGGTCCTATAATTATGTGCAAACATCCATCAGAATTCGAAGATGGAAGCTTGATACTTATAACATTTATTTAATGATGGAGGTCTTACTGATACATAATAAATGAGCCTTTTTGGCTCCTTAATCCATCTTAACCTTGAGGCAGACGCCAGGCTCCTTACATGACCAGGTGGTCATGAGTGCAGAATGAATATTGCCTTATGTAACATCAGCAATTTCACATGATATTCAGCCAGTCACGAAAGGGTTCAGTTTGACATCACTTTGGTATTTCAGTTATAATATGGCAAATGTAACAAAGGTTATATTTGGGATAACACTTTCTGAGTAAAGTACAGATTCTCGTTCTTTTTTGGGTCGAGTCCCATCCAGAATTCAAACCCACACTGCCAGAGTGAGGCACCTAATCGCCAGCACACTAAGTCAGCAATCTAACCCACTCAGCCACTGATGGCATTGTGTTTTCATAATATGGCAAGTCAACTTCATGTGGGAGCAAAGCCCTAAGTGAAACAGGTCTTTATTACAGAGATGTTTGTTTACTAATTTGATGAAACCCACATCACAAGAATCATAAGGTTAAATTTAAGATTTGAAAACCTATAATTATGACTAAAAGATGCAACTCTGCATGGGTATGGTGCTGACCAACCAAGAAATAATCAGGGCAAACTTGGCATTCAATCCACTGATCACTGACCAAAGGGAGGCAACTCCACAAGGCTGTCATGTAACTGACAGCTGTAAACACTATATTCTGACTGTCCCACCCACCTGGTACTCCTGATAGTTTTTGAGTCCTATGGTCAGGTACGGCTTGAATGCCTCCATGTACTTCTCGAAACCATCACCAAGAACTGGAACAAAGAGTGGAATAATAATCAGCCTTGCAAACATCCGGCAAAGGTTTAATCTGAACTGCCTACAACACCTTGATTTCTTTTTATAAACATGGGTACGGCATCTTTTGTAGTCACATCACATGTCAAACTTTTAATTTCAAATGTTTTTCTCTCTCCATTTCTTTGACAACAGAAAAAAACAATCTTAATACAACTACTACTATATTACCTACTGATATAATAAAAACAAACTGTAATGAACTGGTTTATTCTGCACATAATATATAAATCAAGGAGTTCTAAGTGCAAACTGTGAAAACACACCCAGACAACCAACAGCCCATAACATCACATCACTAAGAGAGGAGAGGTGAGGTGAAATTGGGTTTAAAGTCGCGTCCAAGTTTATTGCACATACCGTATTCGACGTAATAAGCGCCCCGCTCCAATAAGCGCCCACGGCGAAATTTGCTAATATATTGGCAAGTGAACAATCCCAATTAGAACCCCTTCCAACTGATCAATGTATACAAGACTTATTTATTCGCGTATAAGACACGCGCGTGTTATATGCACCCTTAATTATGGGCAATATAATTCGGGAAAAATATATATGTCGTACATAAACATTTCAGGCTGTCAGCATAAACCACGAAATTTATCTTTCAACTGTTTTTTTGACACCAAAAAAATATTCTAATAACAGCCCCCTTTTCCTAATTTTGAGAGCGCCCTGGGCGCTTATTACGTTGACTACGGTATATAGAATGTGCGTGTGTGTACGAGATACCATGCCGCAGTTTAACATTAATACCCAACTCAGACTGACTCTGAGCCGACCAGTCCTTGTTTTAGCCCCTAAATGCAGAGCGCCAGACAGGGTAACAACAAGTACCATCTTGTAACGTCTTTTGGTATGACATGGCTGGGATTGAACCCCGGACCTTCCGCTTTCCGGGCGGGCGGACGCTCCACCACTAGACCCCGGAGGCGGTAACATCACTGAGAAAGGAGAGAGGAGAGAGAATCTTCATGGACTCCAGACTTCCCTGCCCTACAAGATGTCTGACACATACCTTCCATGAGTGTGGACACGGCGTACAGAGCGTCCTCCTGTACACCGCCTGCTTTCCCTGCCGTCATCTGGAACATCTGCAGCAACGCTGTCATGATCTGATCCGAGATCTTCGGTGCATCATCTTGAGTTACCTTCCTAAGAACACTCTGCAAGAAAGAGTTGTGTCATTGGTGAGCGTGTGCGTAACAGTTGGATTTTAAACTACTTGTGGTAACCTCAAACAAAGGATGCCTGCAATTGTGTCGTTCATGACTCCCTGAAACACTGTATTGCAGCTGACTAGATAATGAATAACATTCTTTATCAACTCCATCACTCAGTAAATTGTTGTACTATGTTTATATGCCTACATCATACAAGAAAAACTCACCTGCAGAGTGGCACATAGGAGAGACTGGAGGTCATTGAACTGAACACGGTCGGATGACGACTGTACAGAACCCTGGAAAACATTGACACAAACATTCAGTCAATTCACCGTCACCACCTGCTAGTCAGATCACACAAATCATAGGGTCCTCAGTGTCTGACCCTTGATACTAAGGGGTATTTGATATCAATGAAAACCAACATTGCAATTAAAACAGTGGACAACTGTTCAAAATTCTGTCAAGTGACAAGTCTTTCCAATGTCACTGATTGATAATGAATATAATGTGTCAAGGTCCCCCCCAACAATATTTGACTAATTCAAATTAATAATATGGCATTGAATGATAAAAAAATGAATATAAATCACTCATTAGTCATGACAAAAATTTGATTATCTTGAACTCACCTCCATAGAGAGGACTCTCTCCAGTCTTTCTAGTATAATCATGGTGGTCTTCTGAACCGTCAAATAGCAGTCCTGGACAAAATAAACATCCATCAGTAACAGATTTGCAGTTGACTAAACTTCCCAATAATCATTTCACAACAGTTCAATCAATGAACCAGAGAGAAACACGTAAGGCTAGATGCTGTACGCTGTTACAACTCGTACGACCTGTATGTTACAGCTGATGGGGAAAAGTATACGGCTAATTGCAGAGATGCAAATTGAAACTACAGAGCTCCAGATAAGCTGCGTATCTGCGAGAAATAAGCAACAGAAATGCAGAAATACGCAGTAAAATATAATCCAAGCGTATCAAATACGCAACAAACATTACAGATACGCTACAAAAATAAAATTTGTGCGTATCATCAAAATATTGTGAAGTAACCCTGCATATTCGATTAGCAAATCAGCAACTTATTTGGAAATTATAAACGGGCATTCCGTCAACCTTGCCAAACTCCACGATGACAGTCACATCATGATCATTTGCCATCACACTTTCGTGTGGAAGTATCGTTGTATTTTTGAGTCCTATAAAGCTCTCAAACCCACACGACACCAGTTTGCAGGGACTAGATGAAAAGTGTTTTTAAATATTTAACTTAAATACCCACATGTGTAAAAACTAGTGGGTAACAGAAATTTGAATACGCAGATAGAATTACTGATACCCAATAATTTTTAAATGCATGGGTAAAATACCCACAACACCAAAAGCTTATCTGGAGCTCTGAACTAGTCCAACTATCTAATAAGTAAAACTTCATGTTATTCATAGGGTGTGCTTGTTTGTTGTCAGAGAGTGAGTGAGTATGGTTTTACGCCCCTTTGAGCAATATTCCAGCAATATCACCGCTGGGGGACACCAGAAATGGGCGTCACATATTGTACCCATGCAGAGAATTGAACCCAGGTCTTTGGCATGACAAGCGAACACCTTAACCACTAGGCTACCCCACTGCTCTGATATGTCGTCAGTATCGAAGCTTTTTCCTGGTAAATGTCTATTCCTGGTTTTTGAGAACCACTGCCACTACGCACTTACCTTGGGACTATTCTTAACTAATTCCATCAGAGCTTCATAAGCTGCATTTCTTAGATTGTGCTGGTTGCCATCCGGTCTAGAAAAAGAGCAAAGCAAGTCTCATGAAACGATGCATCGACAGATTCGACTACATTCCCCAATGCAAATCAATATAGGCTGCTATCTAACAGTAACAGTCCTGGTAAATAGATATTATATCACAGATTGTCAGCTTCATGTGGAAGGAACGTTTGAAGTGATGCCGTTGCTGATGCTTACTATTTGGGTAAAATTTGCAAGCACGAGTAGGTTGCAGACAAAATTAGACAAACATCAGGGTTGACAAGGATTCTAACCCACAATCATAGGTTTCTGGAATGCTCAAGGGACAAGTCCACACAGTGATTTGCTTGGCCACTTATCACCTTAGAGAACACCTGAGCATTCTGTGCCTACGCAAACAAGAAATCACTTCCCACGTCTTAGACAAATGATTGGCAAACTGATGATATCAGGAAAGTACCTGTCTGTTGTCTGTAGTAACTGTTGTACAATTTGTTCAAAAGATGCAGAGAGACAGTAGGTTTCTGGTTCAGCGTTCTCATCAGCTGTTTCCGCATTCTCAAAAGCAGCTTCGGCAAGACTGGAGAAAGCCTGTAGAAGAAAGCAGTCAGTCAACATAACAAAAACATTGACCAGCTGTTATCTGCTCTTGTCGTAATTCTTCTGGAGTGAGTGATTGAGTGATTGGGTTTAACGGCGCTTTTAACAGTTATATTGCGGCGTGTCAGCTTAATGTGGGAGGAAAGCCCGCAGTGATGCAGGTCTCCGACGTTTACCACTTCGATGAAACCCACAAGCATGGGTATGATGCTGACAAACCTAGAAACATAATCGGGGCGAACCGGGATTCAACAAGTGACAAGAGAGACAAGTCGGACACCATAATAGACACCTTACAATTGCTTAGTAGACACATTTCACCCTACCAGACACCTTGGACACCATAGCTGAAGCTTAAAGGACCCCAGGGCAGGTTCTGAACCAAATGCCCCATATTTCAATCTGAGAATGATAACCGACATTTGCTGCAGATAAATCCCAGTAGAGAAAGTTATACAAGAGACAGCAGTATTCCTTACCCAACAGACGTTGCTGGCAACCCGTGGTTCCGCAGACAGTCCCTCCACCAGAGCTTGTAACAGTGTAGGCAGGTGGTCATTGATGACAGCATCGGGCAAGATCTCGCAGACTCGCCCCACCGTCCATGCCGCCGTGTCTCTTACAACTACACTGGGGTCTTTCAACAGAGATATCAGCTTGGGCATTGCATGCTCCACAATCTGTTTCAACTTGGCAGGATCGGGGCCTTCCAAAATGGAGCCTGAAAGATTGGTTACAGAAACATGAACTTTCTAGGTGGATTAACATCATTAAGACAGCGTGGACTGTGAAAAGACTTGAACTCAGTCTTAAAGGGTGCTTATCGTATCACGACACCGATTTAGATTAACATTTCCAGGGGAGGGGGGGCTCATATGTTTCAACAGATTAACTGAAAATGAAATACCAGTCATCTCAGACGTATATAACAGGATCATTGTGTTTCACTCCAAGAAAGGCAATGGAATTCATCACAGATGACTGGTGGGTGTTCAGTATGCTGTATCAATGGCTGTATCAATGGCTACTCCATGATTTATGTAGACTTGCTCAGCGGACGATATTTGGCCTTAAGTCTGAAGCCAATGTCAGTACAAATTACGAAATTGGAGACCTGTGAAGATCCGGGGTGGAATAAGTTTTCAGCAACCCATGCTTGCCGTAAAAGGTGACAATACTTGTCATAAGAGGCGACTGACGGGATCAGGTGGTCAGGCTCGCTGACTTGGTTGGTGCATGTCATCGTATCCCAATTGCGTGGATCGAAGCTCATGATGTCAATCACTGGATTGTCTCGCCAAGACACGATTATTTACAGACCACCGCCATATAGCTGGAATATTGCTGAGTGTGGCGTTAAACAACAAACAGAATTAAAAATTTCCCAATTCATCATTATAGTTGCAACCAAGGACAACTGATGTTATGGCTTTGTAGAGGTGACTTGTAAACTTGTAGTTGAAAACAGGGCCAACTGAGAGGAAGAGGCTTCAATGTAATAGGCACCTGGGGACCAGCTGGAATACCAACGTGTGTTGTCATGCCGACAAGAACAGGTGAAGAGGACAAATATAGTCAAATCTAAATATTTTTTACATTTGTATACTTATCCTGCATTAAGTGAGTGTTGTATTAAGTCACAATCAGCAACGTTCCAGCTAAGGATGTCTTCACATATATAACAATATCCATGAATTGATAAATGTGTAATATCAATGCTGTGTCAATACAAACTTATGAATATCAAAACTTAAATTATGAAAACAGCGTTATCATTATCCCCCGCCATGGGGTTCATGAGAATTGTTGCTCATATTGTAGTGAATATATACGGAGAAAAAGGGATGTAACTCAAAAACATTGTAGCAGTCTTGATCAGTTCACCAAAACTTTTTGTAAATGGACTAATTATTGCACTAAAAAAATATATTAAACCCACTGCGAGGAAGAAGGCTACTTCAGATGCCACCTGTAAATTGTGTTGTTGTTTTTTTGACTATTAACAATACTCCGTTAATATGGGAATAAAGTTTCATGGATAATGTATGAAAGAGATAATGATATATGATCCAGAAATGAACACTACAACCCATCTGGTTAGATTGGCAATGAAAGTAACCCAACAGAACCAATTATTTCTTGACAACGCCAAGGTCTCTGACTGGGGTATATTGGACAGTGACATATTTACCACAAGACACCATCATCTCAGAAAGACTAATAACAGGATCATTGTCAATCACTCCAAGAAAGGCAATGGAATTCATCACTGATGACAGGTGGTGTTAAGGTGTTTCATCGGGGTGTCAACAAAGTAGCAGACAAGGGAGCTAACTGCAGCCGCCATTCTTTGAACTTCATTTGTGAGTTTTTTGCTGAATGTTTTGTTTGTTGTTTAACACCGCACTAGGCAATATTCCAGCTAAATGACGGCGGTCTGTAAATAGTCAAGTCTGGACCAGACAATCCAGTGATTGAAACCATGAGCATCGATTCACACAATTGGGATTGATGACATGCATCAACCAAGTCAGGGAGCCTGACCTCCCGACCCAGTTAGTTGCCTTTTACGACAAGCATGGGTTGCTGAAGACCTAGTCTACCCCGGATCTTGCTGAATGTAAAAAAAACTGTTCACACTTTAAAGTTTCTTTTGTATAATTGCTTAGAAACTGTCTTTCCCATTTCATTTGTTAAATTCCCTTGCAAAGAGCAGAAAACATTCAGCCTGCAATAGTGCAAAATCTGCGAGGAAGTGATGCACAAACAATAGGCGCTCATGATAATCATAGAAGGAGTTATCTTGGATTCTAACAAGTGTTCTAGGCAGGTAAAATGGGATCACAATCATTATTTTGTTCAAGGTTCACAATTCCGAGGTATTCTAACATTGCATTCTTCGCAAGAATATAAAACAGGCTTTCTCCTCCTCATGGGTTGTGCTATCAGCATGATCAGTGATATTATAAAGCCAACTATTAGTTACAAGAACCGTGAAGATCCAGGTAGAGAATAGGTCTTAAGTAACCCATGCTTGCCGAAAAAGGCGGCTAACGGGATCGGGTGGTCAAAACAGCTGACTTGGTTGATGCATGTCATTGTATCCCAATTGTTGGGATCATTGCTCATGATGTCAATCAGTGGATTGTCTGGTCCAGATATGATTATTTACAGACCGCACCATAATAGCTGGAATATTGCTGAGTGCAACTTTAAACAAACAACAAATACATTAGTTTTAACTATGTCAACATGAATTGGGAAATTTTTTTATTTCAATTTGGGATGTTTACCATTTGCTGCAAACCTGGGGCCTGAGAAGGTTTAGATAAACCCAGCAGAACATGACGGTTTTCTGACATGTGGTACACCTTCAACATGCTATCGACACTCACCAAAGGCCATGACGGCCGCATCCCTGTTCCGCCAGTCCGGGTTATCAATCATCTCCTGCACGAACGGCAACACATACTGCACCACCTCGTCCTCGCAGCATGACGCCATCAGCATCAGACACACGCCAGCAGCCTTGCACGGGTTCCACTCATCGTCGTCATCGCCCTCATCCTGTAAACACACTCTGATTACCCCATGTTACCGACAGTCATCTCAGCTCTGCATCCAGGTTAACCCACATGGAGTTGTTCCCCTTGGACATCCGCTACATCTCAGCCTCATTATCCTGTATAGTGATATGTACTGCAAGTTGCATCTTCGGTGGGAAAAATATGATGACGTATCAGTCCTGCCTCGTATGTTCAAAAGTTATGTGAATTTTTAATTCTTTCATAAATCAACACATTAAGATTCAGCAGCAAAGTTAGACAATTTCAAGTACACATTTTACTGACAAAATAGTTAACAGGAAAGTCATATATTGGACAACTGAATGTGAAGAATTTCAGAACATTACGACAGTGAAATTCAATCATGAAAGTTTTCTTACTTCCAGCTTAAATTACACTTTAGAATTAAACTTGTCAGTGTGATAGCCACTTCTCTAGCTTAATGATATAACAATCAATCATCAGAAAAAGAAACACAGCAAAATAGTACAAAACCTATGAAGAATATATGAATATTCAGAGGTACAAAAATTCCCAAGCCAAAGTAAAGCCATGTCTATGTCACTACTGTGCACTCTTACAGAAGCATGTGACCAGTGTTAGCTCTGAACCTATGATGAGTCTCGCACGTAAAGTGTCTCGATACCATCGATTTTGTCACGATAGGAGCATGAATCAAGCAGCCATGGTTTCAAGGGTGACCATATCATTGCCAGCATTCGTTTCAAGCAGACATTTTACTTGATCAGAAGCACTGTGCCCTGTGCAGGTAACAGAATGTGTATTGTGTTGAATGAAAACGTGATCATGATCCATCCTATTTCCACTGGTATATGTAAGATGAATGTTATCCCAGTAAAGTGCATCTCCCTTAAGACGGCACCTATCATCATGCATACACATATCTGATGGAATAGTTGCTGTACACTTTCCAAGTACCCAACTAACGACTTACAGTATATTAGCCTTTGCAGGACTATTAGCATGCATTTAGATGATTAGCCAAGTCTGTTTCTGTATTGCAAACAACATTTAAGGGAAAAAAATGCAAGCCTTTGGTATAAGTGTCCAAAACAACTGTCAGGCTGCATGAAATTGTCCTGCACCTGCCCCACTGTCTGGCAGATAATGTTACGTCTACTTACATGTTCAGTTTTATCATAACTCATCGTACATTCTCAAGTAATTGTTTGCATTATTTCAAATGAATCAAGACATGATTTGTCTCTTTATTTTTGGCGATTTTTCAATGGTCATAATTTCTGAAGGCAGGCAGATACCTGAAGGTGGGCAGGCAACATTTATGGGTCACCTGCCCGACAGTCTTGTTGGGTTTTAAAATTGTTTCCAACACTATTCGTCACAGCTATGCTATTTCTTATCCTAAATATCATATGGCTAATGTAGAATGAGTAAGAAATAATATGGTTCTGTGTTGCTTTTAGCAATGTTCAATCTAAGGCGATAACGTAACAAGTGAGCTTTACATATTGTGCCATATTGTGGAGAAAAGAAACCGGGCCTTCGGCGTGATAAGGGAATGCTTTAACCACTAGGCTCCGCCAGCATCCACAGAGCAAATACAAGCCTGGACGACTCTTGACAGAGCAAGGTGCGATCAACACACATCCATTAGAGGAAAGGAGCACATTTGACAAGCAATTAGTAGTTTAATAGCGAAGGTGCAAAGGGTTAAGAATTAATAACTTTAAGACATGAAAGAAAAAAAGATCCCTGACTTGGATTTCAGTCAATTTAGATAAAACCTGTTCATGGTAAGGGGCGTAACTATTCACAATAAACAAAGCCTGGCATTTAACAGGTCCCAGATAACAGAAATGGTACATAAGCACGCTGAAACTTTATTCCAAACCCCTGAGAACACTACACAATTTTTGGAACCAGTAGTCCTAGCCCAAACAAGGTTATTTTGTTTTTGTTTATTACCGCACTCAGCAATATTCCAGTTGTAGGACTCTGTACAAGACTTAATTAGGTCCAATACAGGACTGCCCATCAACAGGGGTGACAGATATACACCTGAGATGACTATCAACAAGTCATTTAGAAGTCATATCTGAACACAGCTGGAACATGGTGTTTATAGACTATATCTGTCCTCAAGCATGCCCACAACCCAATGCTACAATTCCTGCGTTCAAAATTAATTCTTAGGACAAATACCTCAGATAAATTTCTCATCAACGATTAGGCTTCCATGCGAGTTCTAAAGTCAGCTTCCACTCAACATGGGAATATACTGACTGGATCAGCAGGGTTAGAAACTAACAGTTTTTGTCCACTAGTCCTTATACTGATAACATCTAGCAAAACCCTTAAAATGGGCCAATTTCTACTAGTCCTTAGGATACCTTTACTATTGGGCAGTTTGGTAAGGACTATAGGACTAGTGCCATTAATAACGCTATCAGTGATATGACTGACATAGGAATACACCTAATGGAATAGTGATACGACTGACATAGGAATTAACTGTGTTTCTACTCTATAGTTTGAAAGGGCAGTGACCGAGGCTAGTGTGACAGTGGAAGACACCAGACCCAGGCTTAGTATAGAAGTTTGCTTACTCGACCCACCTGCTTGGCCAGGCTGATGAGCAGCACGGGGATCAGGTACTGCAGCGCCCCCTTGGCGTAAAACATGCTGGTCCGTTCAGGCGGACGGCCCTGCTCAGCAGCCTTGGAAGAGAAAGAAAGTTAGTTTGTGGTTAACAACATACACATGCTGACCTTCAGGTTATTTCGTTAAGACGTCAAGTGACCCATTAGCTGTGAAAATGAAGGACCAATTTTTGCATAAATTACTTGAAGGCTAGGGGCCCCATACGTCAGAATCAACAGTCATAATTTTCGAGTATTTGGCCAGGAATCTTGACAATCAGAAGATCTGCCCATGAACCAAAATCAATATTGTGTTGAAGTAAAATTGTAAGTGACAGTTATAGTAACACACTCGGCGATATACCAGCCATATGACAGGTCAGTGAACAACATTGACTGACACAAGCATCGAACAACACAATTGGGATTGTGACACACAATCATTTGTTTTGTTTGATGTAAACACCGCACTTAGCAATATTCCAGTTATATGACGACAATCTGTAAATATTCAAATCTGGACAATAAATCCAGCGATTGAGCATCAATCTCCACAGTTGGGATACGATGACATGCATCAACCATGAGTGACCATCCATCACGTTATTTGTCTCTTACAACAAGCATAGCAGCCTCTTACAAGTATGGGTTGATGAGTGAGTGAGTATGGTTTTACGCCGCTTTAAAAAGCCTTTTAGCAATATTCCAGCAATATCACGGCAGGGGACACCAGAAATGGGCTTCACACATTGTACCCATGTCGGGAATCGAACCCGGGTCTTCGGCGTGACGAGCGAACGCTTTAACCACTAGGATACCCGACTGCCCCTATGGGTTGATGAAGACCTATTCTAACCCTGATATTCACAGGTCGACACACAGTCAACGAAGTCTGACCATCCAACAAATTAATATCAACAATTGCCTACAGATCTGAGGAAAAAGTTCTAATATTGTTACCTCTGAGAGCTCAATGGCCAGGTCCACCTCCTCATCACACACAGTGGACCAGAACTCAATTCCCTGCAAGGCTATCTCGTCCACCTCACTCTCCATCGCCTCCATGGTTATCTGCAAAAAACAATCACCAGCTGCTGAGAACATTAGTTCCATCCTCACGGACAAAGTGAGTGAGAAGATGCTTTAATGCCACTTAACAGCAGTCCAGCCCTCATATCGTAAAATGTTACTTGGAAAGTACAATCATCTCAGAAAGACTAATAATCGGATCATTGTTTATCACTCCAAGAAAGGCAATCAGACTCATCACTGATGATTGTGGAGGAATAAGAGAGGCATCCTGCTGCTTTTAGCAATATTCCAGCAATATCTCACCATCACCCCTCAAGAATAAATCTACATTCAAGTTAACACATCTAAAATAATTTGGAAATAAATAAATCCGATATATTTTGGTTTGTTATAACAAAATTACACAAGCTGTCCAAACTAGTAGACCATGAACACTGTATCACCTGTACTTTGTTCTGATTTATAACAGAGGCTCTTTAGTGCCACAGCTTCTTACTACATTATTAATTTATTTTCCTATACGACTTACCATTTGATAAGGATCTTGTAATTCTGAGATACAGCTTTCCATACTACTGGTTATGGTAACAATGTATAAATATATTTGTATCCGTATCAAATGCTGAGTAGTATATATTACAGTATATACTATAAATTACATAAGTCTACAATTCATAGAGCAAGATATGGACTTTCCAACAAATAGTCAACAAAAACGCGGTGGCTACGTACAGCAAACAGAGCAGGTCCCATGTAGTGCTTCATGTACTGGTAGTACAGCGACATGACTTTCACCAAACACTGGAGCGCAGCTACCCGTACCTGAAATAACCCCCAAAATTAGTGTAATTAACTATAAACATCTAAAAACTATGTCTTGGTAGTAGTTTTCAGGTCATCCACTGAAAATAATTTTGACCAGGACATAATAACAGAAAAAACAATCAGCTGTAAGCAGATAAATACCTTTTTGGTTTGGTTTGTTGTTTTACGCGGCACTCAGCAATATTCCAGCTATATGACGGCGGTCCGTAAATAATCAAGTCTGGACCAGACAATCCAGTAATCATGATCATCAATCCACGCATTTGGGATCGATGACATGCATCAACCAGGTCAGCGAGCCTGACCACCCGATCCCGTTAGTCGCCTTTTACGACAAGCATAGTCGCCTTTTACGGCAAGCATGGGTTGCTGAAGACCTATTCTACCCCGCATCTTCACGGGTCAAATAAATACCTATGTCAGTGTATGGAGGAAACATACCCTGAAATCTTTGTCAAGGGTCCTTCAGTATTCATACACGACGAACAGGTAATCCATAATTTTGAGTTTCGATAAATTATTCCATGTTTGGTCATTTTGAGAAAGAAAGTGAAGAAAAACATGTCACCCCAAGAGAAGCTTCATCGAAGACAGATGAAGACAAATTGTATTGTTCTCGACAAAGACGTTATGTGATGTCATCGTACTTCAACCTTCAGGTTGATACTTTAGACAAACCAAAATGCAAATATGCAAACTAAGTTAATACACTCAAACATTCTAGTCTTATGGGTATTTCAAATTCCTGTAGACATGGAAGGGGTCGTGCTGTCTACCTACCCTCGTGTCCGTGGACTGTGTGGCTTCACAGACGACTTGCATGATGAAGTGTCTCTCAGTCTGGAAAACAAGTAAAAAAGCTTGTCAGTAAACAATGAAGACATGAACACAACAGCATAAACAGTGAAATTCATGAGAAAAACACCCAACATATTCATTTAATTGTGTTTTTGTTTGTTGTTTAACGCTGCACTCAGCAATATTACAGCTATATGACTAAGGTCTGCAAATAATAAGAGTCTGGACCAGACAATCAAGTGATTGACATCATGAGCATCAATCCCTGCAACTGGGATTCAATGACGTGCATCATCCAAGTCAGCCCACCTGACCACCCAATGCTGTTTTAGTCGCCTCTTACGACAAGCATAGTCTCCTTTAACGGCAAGAATGGGTTGCTGAAGACCAATTCTACCCTGGATCTTCCCAGGTCTATTAATTTAATAAAGATACCAGAAATGCAGTGTAGTAGCAGTTGTAGTTGATGGGTAAATATTTAGAGAGCGAGTGAGTTAATGTTTAACGTCACAGCCAGCAGATGCCAGCAGATACCAGCAGTCCCACACTTGTAAATAATCAAGTCTGGACCAGGTAAACCAGTGACACAGCACCACAATGCCAACATGATCCAATTGTGTGCCTGTTACCATGGTCACAAGCTGAATGTTGTATGGACCTATTGTATACTTGGGTCTCCATCAGGTGCACTTGTTATAAGGGCATGTGAATACATCAACACAACCTGTGCACTAATATTCCTCAAGCCATCATAAGACAACTTCTTGTTGCTAAAATACTTCAGGTTGTCTTGAGACAAGTGTTTTAATGAATAAGCTTTGAAATGTTCTTGTAATTGAAATGATGAGTCATCGGAAGGATAGAATCAAACCGGTGGTAAGCGATAGAAATAGCAACCAGTGTAGGTATCTGACAACTTTTGACAAAGTGGATAATGAAATGTATAAACTTTTTATACTTACATCTTTATCAAAGTTTGACTTGGTGAATTCTAGGGAGTTCAGAAGGGCATTTGTTGCCGCCAGTCGAACATGGTTACTGCGAAAGAAAGTGAAAACAAAATAAGCCATAAGCCATAAACCATAACCAAAGAATTGTTTCATAATTATACTTTGAATACAAAATAAACAGTGAAATATGCAGCTATATAACAGCTGTATAGCTAAATAAAGCTGCTTTCTGATTGGCTAATATTGACTTCTTGTCAATCATTTCATTTGTCAGTCAAAGTTCACGAAAGGTCATATGTGACATGTGATGGGATGTCCTCATATCTTTGCTTGTCTTTGCAGAACTAGGATCTGATTTTAATGTGATTGCTAAAAGGAGACTGAGATAGTGCAAGTGTCTAAACAATGTCACATGGGAAAGTGTGGTTTGTGTGGTCTAGACCTAAAGTTGCTCGATGCACAGACCTTGGCTCTTCTTTCTTCATGCCATGGACAATGGCTGTCAGGATGTCGTTGGACTGGGTTTGTAAAATCTCTGGATCCTCCAAAAAACGAGAAAAGGAAACTGTGACAATCTTTTATATCAATGCCTTAAAATACTAAGCAATGCAGAACAGTGTCCTCAAGTAGCAAATTAGGCCTAAAGCAATGATAACTCCAAAATAACAGAAAACAGTGAAAGACGAAGTGAAAGGATATAACCAACAAAGGATGTGACCAACATTCCAGCTATGACGGCGGTCTGTAAATAATTGAGTCTGGACCAGACAATCCAGTGATTGACATCATGCAATTTGGATACGATGTCATGCATCAACCACGTCAGCGCCTCACCATAAGCATAGTTGCCTTTTACGGCAAGCACAGGTTGCTGAAGACCTATTCTACCTCGGATCTTCACAGGTTGTAATGCTCAACGTTTATTGTGTCCTTTATCATCTTGGTAGTCAGCTTGGGTGAACAAATTCCGACTGTTATCAATCATTTGAATTAAAAGCATGGAAAATTACAATGTCCAATCCAATTCCGAACATAAGCTGGTGATGACAATCTGTGAAAGCAACTTACTATGTCTTGACAGACGTAGCCAATGGCTTCTAGTGTGGATTCCTTCATCATTTCCGTACTTGCAGGATTTGTGACATTGGCAGTGAGGCTTGTGATGAGGTCTGGCCATAGTCCTTGAGGGAGCTCCGCACAGGCCACATATGCCACACACTGGGCTGCAGAGCTTGGACGAATCGTTTCCGATCCTAAGGTTGCCAAGATCTGAAATGCAATGTCAGTTTCTTAGATTGTTTTGAAATCCCTATTGGTTAATTTATAAAATTGAAACGATTAATCTAAATAGCTTTGTCCAAAACTGTAGTAATGTCACACACTGTTCCAAAATGAATTTCAGTATAGGTTGATATAATTAACATGAACCTACTCAAACTTTTATTCCTCAAAATTATCCAGAACTAAAGATCGCCACTAGCCGGAGATTAGTGAAACCCTAAGAGGGACCTTTTTTTTGTCTCGCAAATTCTAGTTTGATCCGAAGACATGCATCAACGAAGTCAGCAAGCCTGACCACCCGATCCCGTTAGTCGCCTCTTATGACAAGCATGGGTTGCTGAAGACCAATTCTAACCCAGATCTTCACGGGTCCTAAAAATCTAGTAATCCACTTGTTCAAACTGAGCTGTAAACTACTTGGATATGACCCATGGTGTCTACACTGAAATCACATATTAAAAAACTTTAAATTATCCCACACTTGTTAGCCTTTTTTAAATGGAAAGTTGAAAGGAGTATTTCAAATGATGAATAGCGACCTACATTTTGCTTGACATGTGTCCGGACATCTTGTACAAACTGGAGCCACCTCTGCTGGTACTGTAGTTTGGTGGCGGGGTCTTTGGAGTAGAGTGCATTCTTGAGTTGGAGACCCGCCTGCATCCTGGCCACAGGGCTGTTGCCGCCATGCTTCAATACGTCTGAGAGCTGCTTCAAAAGCTCCGGCTGGAAAGGGAGCAAATAACACTTGGAAATAGAAAGTACTCAATTTCACTAAACACTTAAGTACCCCTTTTATTGTATTCATTTTGAGATGTTCATTTTCCTGTTGTCTTTCAAATAACTACAGTGAAAAGTGTTTTGTAGTTTTACCATGGTTACTGAGTTGGTGATCTACAGGTACATCAAGTGTACTTCTTCCATTTACCGATATGAAATATCACCTCAAAGTACAGTAACAAATTATGTAACTGTAAGCAATTAGACCATAGCATTACTACACAGCTTTAAGATTGATGCTAACACAAATGGGCCAGTCAGCACCGATTCTTAATAAGGTTTGACATTTGTGTTCCAAAAACTACAGAATTTGAAAGCCACACGGTTGACAAATGAAGAATTGTTCAAACTTATCTTATAACAGCACACCTGGCAGTCATCTGAGATGACCAAGACAACCATCAAGGGATACTAGCCACAAGATAGATTCAGATGATCAATAAATTTAACACAAGTATCAACTGGCATTTTCACTTCACGGCCATTAATAATTAACACAAATCGCATACACATCCTGATCGATGATTAGAGGGCAAAATGTTAAAAGAAATTACTTAATAATTAACCGTAGGCTGTGCAGTAACTAAGGAATGAGTTTGAGACCTACTAGTTAATATACCAGGAACTCTGGAACTAGGAAGTTGTGGAACAGCAATCTAAATGTTGACTCTGTGGGTTTGTTGATTCTTATCCAAGCAATCATAAATTTTAATGTTTACCTCAGATATTTGGCATTTTAAAGTTTGCATGGTCAGGGTTCTACTGGATGCAAAATGGTGCATACCATACGCATAAAAATTCAGAATTAACACAAATAATATCCACTTTGATTCAACGTACAATCTATGAACCCTACAATTCAACAAATTTGAAATAAATACTTTTCGCTTTCAAACGTTCTTGTGGTATTATGACTATATAAACTATGTTTACATCTGACCAGAAAAAAACTATCAGTGACTATGCACATGAGTTTGTATTAATTTTTTAGGGGGAAATTGTATTTACAGCAGAATTTACAGCAGAATTTTGGTAATTGTGGGATTTTTGAATGACTGAAACCAATTCACTGAAGCGTGAATGCGAGACTGACTTTCCATTCAAATAAGGATATCCCTATCTATTGAAAGCACAAGACATCACACTTTTTCTTGTTTGCTGTTGGTACAGTGGTCACCCAGGGCCCCCATTGTAAAGCTTGGGACCCACGAAATGGAGAACAGAGAATCACCTGGGCTGCATACAGAGTATGTAAATCCCTGCATGGTCATACGTTCAGCAAGAGGGTTTTCATAATCATAGAAATAGGAATATTGTTTGATGAAGCTGTGCTCAAGTCTGGCGTCCATTTTCTCCCTTTTTATGCAACATAACAGCTAGATGAAACCGACATTGTTTCTCTGTTTGAAACTTTGAACTTATTTTTTTATGTACACTTGCTGACACTGTCAGTGGTGTGTGAATAACTTGGTAGTGGTGCCGATGTTGCTGAAGCAAGACCCTCATGTTCCGGGATATACTTATTTCTTAGCAGATGAAATTCAGCACTTGTTCATTTTCCGTTCAATTTATATTTCCTGTATCTACTTGTAAATTCAACATATCACACAGATAATTAACCATTACTTGTGCTAGAAGAACAATTGCAAAGATATTGCAACATGACTCAAAGAGTTAAGTTGACCTATCTAAATGAAAGTACTCAAAGAAAACGACAAAGCATACAGGACAGTGCGGTTACCTTGTGTGGCAAAAACACACCACATGAACACAGTTGTAGTCCCATCCCTTTCAATTATGTTCAACTGCTCTCATACAATATTCTGAGTCATGATTTCAAATCTTGTCCAAAGTCAAGGTCACTGAATAATATTGTCACAGCCCATGCAGAGGTTGTTATTGTTTTGACAGACGTGCAAGCTTGCTCTTTCAAATAAATATGAAACATCTGTATGGTTTAGGGATTTTTTTTACGTAGATGGGGGTTGTGCTGTGAAGATTGAAATCTAATGCTGGTGTTTAAACTCCAAGTCACCTATTGAATTCAAGCATGGATAACAACTTATAATTCAATTCTTAACATGACCATTGTTTGAAACTAAGCATGAAAGTTATCTGATCCTTTTCATGACACTATTATGTTGAAATTTAAAGATCTATGGTCTCCACCTATATAAACACCATACAAGACCGAGAACCCCAGCTCACAGCACTCCATGTCGTAATCAAAACCTGCTAAAAAATCAATCTGACACTGGAATCACCTATTTGAGCAGTAGAGATGTACATAAATAACGTATTATTCACAGATCTTGAACAATGATAAACCTTCACTTGTTTCTTTAGACTTAAAGATACTTGTTGGAGATGAAGTACTGATGGCAACATTACATTTCCTTTTCTGTGACACGAGCAGATGGACATGACAGCAATGACAACAAATAAATGAGATGTTGGTTTGTTTCTAGGAGGTTGCCAATCTTTAACAATCACATTCAGCTTAATATGGCACATTCGGACCGCATTTTCAAAGAGATTTAGATCATGGAGATTGATTAACAACTAACGCCTATTTGATGATGTAGTTGTCCACTATCCACAACAGACTCCTTATAACACGATGTGGACGAGTTTGTGATTTTAAGTTGAAATCATACCTATAAATAACACAGATCTATGCAAGACAGTTGGGATTTCATCGTACGGTGCATGTTCAGCCGCCATCTTGGTTTCCCGATTACTCTTACGGGAAATTATATACTTACTAAATTCTGTTGTGCTGCGTGTTCTAAGAACTGTTGTGCAGATTCTAGTTCCTGTGTGTCTGAAACAACAATCGTTATGTCTGAAGAACCATAAATAAAGTGTCATATGCCCTGCGATATAGGACAACATGTCTGAAATCTGTAACTCACCGAAGTGAGAAACACGTGAAATGAGATAATGAAGACATTTCTGATCAACCAACCTGGCGATACTGTTTTCTCAAGTACGGCAATTAAATCCATCGTGTGTTGCTTAATGTATACCGCATAAACCTGGTCTTGTTATCATATATTTATCTAGAAATGGCACGTGAAAGAGTTTCGGCTGAAGACTTCGGAGGTCAACCAGCCCATGTGGGTCGGCGCAGGAATATCACAACGTGAATTCCGGGTGTGTTCCATGATCCGTATATTACAGCCGATCTGATTGGTTGAAACGGAACTTACCTCGTCGCGCAGAAGACGTTCACCCAATCGTATTACTCGTAAAATGTATCGGCAAAGCTACACTTGTCATGCATCTTCTTGGAATTTTCAGCGGCAGTGATGAATTGTCTTCTGAATATTATTTCAAGGGTTTTTAGGCCAATATACGTATTCGTACTGTACTGGTTAACATATCATTGTATTAGTTAAATATTTGATTCATATCTCGGAAATATTTGTTTTCGCGCTTAAATACAATTGTGATTCGGTCCATTTAAACACCGGCTTTACATCATTTCCCGCCATTTATCAAACCGACTTCACGTCGATAACCTTCAGGGGAGGTTACATAGTTTAAGTAGCTATAAACTCATGCTTAAATCGTTTTCAAAGATGTTTCCACGGACAAAATATTGTATCAGTAGTTGTTCTGCAGATTTTTATTTAATAACTTATACACGATACAAAAATACCGGTGCAATGGCGAACCTACTAGTATTTTTAAAGGGGGGTGTTCACATTTTCGAATTGTTCACATACGAGTTATTCAATTTTGAGAATTTATTTTTTTGAGGGGTGGGAGAGGTTACATCATAATATTGTTTTGTCATTTTTCAAACGTACAATTGTTGTTTTGAACTATTTGACTACAATCCATGTGTTTTGGTGTCAATTGATGCTCATATGTAACCATTATAAATTTAGTTAGTGAGTGAGTAGGGGAGCATTTACGCCGCTTTGAATACGGGTTGTCAGGTCGTGATGCAGACCAAGTGCTTTCAAGAAAATGAATTATTGATATCTAATACAAAGTTGTTTGTTTGTTGTTGTATTTAACGCCACACTCAGCAATATATTCTATGCATGCAGCTTTGTGACGGCAGTATGTAAAAATCGAGTCTGGACAAGGACCAGACAATCCAGTGATTGACATCACGAGCATCGATCCACATAATTGGGATACGATGACATGCATCAATCAACCAAGTCAGCGAGTCTGACCACCCGATCCCGTTATAGTCGCTCCTTACAACAAGCTGTTTTCTAGCTGTTCATACCTAAATCTCGAATTGTTGCTGTCAATTAATACAAACGAGTGTGATCTTTTTACACTATCTAATGAAGCCAAAGGGAATTTAAGATGTTAATAAAGGCAATTCTTGATGTCATTTCTCTATATGTTCTATAAAATGACAATCGCTGGAAGAGTGGACATGCAAGATATCCATTGTAAAATGATGATCAAGTTATTGAAGTTATGAGCAACGAAACACGTCAGGGTACGATGGCACATTAAGGTAGCGAGCCCTACGACCCTAACTTTTTAATCGCCTCTTATGACCAGCGGGGGCACGGCCGGGTGGCCCAGGCGTCCAAGGCGTCAGCGCCGTGATTCGCTTTGCAGAGTTGCGTCCCTTGGGAACGCAAGAAACCTATGATTGTGGGTTCGAATACCGGTTCGCCCGGCCCCCGATTGTGTTTCTAGGTTTGTCAGCACCATGCCCGTGCTCGTGGGTTTCACCAAAGTGGTAAACGTCTGAAACCTGCATCAATTCGGGCTTTCCTCCCACATTAAGCTGACACGCCGTGATAACTGGAATACTGTTAAAAGCGGCGTTAAACCCAACTCACTCACTTATGACCAGTATAGGTTGTTGCATGGAGACCAAGTCTTATCCGTACCTACACCCACGAGCCATATTAACCTATAGAAGTGATATACTGCAACCTCTCTTGACATTTTTTACCTTACAGACAATTTTGTCTGAAATGACTGTTGTTTACGTTCCTGAGATATTGTACAACCATATATATATATATACCCAAAAGTATATTTAAATCGTAAATACCTGACAGAGTACTGTTGCCGACATCCACACAAAATTATTACCAAAAATGAATTTGTCATTTCTGCATGGACTGCATGGGATTGATTTGTGGGGAAAAATGATCGAGGTACTGCAGGAATTTGGTGAAAAGGCGGAAAAATCCCCCCAAAACACAACCACGAGAGAGCCCGGCACCTGAACACACCAACATGACATGAACGTGTAACATCACTTGTTGGACTATATAAACGTTGGGGTTTCATTTGCATGCCATTAAAATCTCACAGCAAGTGAGCAGCGAATATATGCCACGACTGACGGAAGCCCAACGCAACAATCGGTCGACTGCAAACATCTCCAGGTGTGGCCATGTGTTTTCCAGGTAGCACCAAGCACCATTATAAGTCCGTGGTGCCGTTATCAGGCACACGAGATAACACGTGGTCTTCCCAGATCCGGTCTGCCACGTATGACTATATACTAGAGCACGGGACAGATTCATACGTCTACGTCATGTGTTCGTGAAAGAACCACCAAGGCCACCTGTACAACTACGTCAATACAAGGATTGCGTAGGGTATCAGTCCAAACAACGAGGAACCGTTTACGCTCTGAATGTATTTGTGCTAGACGACCAGTTCGAGGGGTTATTTTTGACGGACCTGCATCGTCGTCTGCGACGTCAATGGTGTCAAGGTCACAGAGTATTGCCACAACTGCGATGGAGACAAGTTTGGTTTAGTGACGAGTCACGTTTTATGCTTCGCCGTGCGGATGGTAGACGTGTTTTTTACAGGATTCGCGGGGAACGTTATGCCCAAAACTGTATACGGGAAGTGGACAGATTTGGCGGTGGTAGTGTCATGATGTGGGCAGCCATCTCCTACGCTGGGAGAACAGACTTGGTGCAAGTTCAACGGAATTGAACGGAACAACGCTAAAGTGCAAAGTGATCACATAGGCAATTACAAAACGCCAAAATATTTCAGTCATTTTACAATGATTTTTCCGTCAGATTTACTATAATAGTTCCAAACACTTTTCAACACCATGCGTCTAATGCCTAGATGTGGCCCCCAGATTTTGTTGCTCTGCGTCACTATTTTATTGTTGATATGAGAAATGATCCATGATGTAGGGATTCGATGACACGCTATCTATCAAGTCACCGAGCCTGACCAACTGATCCATTATGTCGATCGCCTTTTACGAAAAATATAGTATTACGTTGCTGTGGAACTCTCACGTGATGGTTATCAAGAGAACACGGTCAAGTACCAAAGCAAGGGCTACCTTTTACATGAGTGAGTGAGTTGGGTTTAACGCCGCTTTTAACAGTATTCAAGTTATGTCACTGCGTGTCAGCTTAATATGGGAGGAAAGCCCGAAGTGATGCAGGTCTCAGACGTTTATCGCTTCGGTGAAACCCACGAGCACGGGTATGGCGCTGACAAACCTAGAAACATAATCGGGGCGAACCGGGATTCGAACCCACAATCATAGGTTTCTGGCGTGCCCAAGTGACGCAACTCTGCTCAGCGAATCGCGGCGCCTTAGACGACTGCCCCGTTTGTTATGACAAATACTAAGGTGTTTTAGTACATGAAAGAGTGAGATAGTTTAACGCCGCTTTGAAAAATATTGCAGGGTGTGTCAGTCCGACGTAATGCAGGTGTTCGACGTTAGATCCTGGCCACCCGATCCCGTTAGTCGCCTCATACGACGAGCATGGGTTGCTAAAGATCAAATTCTAACCCGGATCTTCACGGGGGTTTTGCTATTTCATATAATGTACTTTTACAAGCAGCTACATTCTCAAGTTTAATAACCAGTAAAAGCAGTGCGAGAAGAGAAATAATGAAGGATAAAGATGGCCAAAAAGTGCAATTTCATTTTGAATGATTTATTAAAAGACAATTGTGTAAATATATGCATGTGTAACATGTCGTGCTAAGATGTACATGTATGTAAATATTGTTAACTTTGAATCCGGAGTAATCAGGTCACGATTTTACAATGTTTTTTTTATTGCTGATGTTACTCTGTAAATATTTATGTATTGAGGGAGAAGATGCCAGCCAACGCATGCACTACTTCCTTTCTGATATCAAGGGTGACCTTCACATTGGCTTACTTCTCATTTGGCCTATGGTTTACAGGGGGATTAGTAGGAGTGAGTGCGTTGGGTTTAACGCCGCTTTTAACAGTATTCCAGCTTAATGTGGGAGGAGAGCCCGAGTTGATGCAGGTCTCAGACGTTTACCACTTCTGTGAAACCCACGAACACGGGTATGGTGCTGACAGACCTAGAAACATAATCGGGTCGAACCTTGATTCGAACCCACAATCATAGGTTTCTGACGTGCCTAAGGGACACAACTCTGCACAGCGAATCGCGGCGCCTTAGACGTCTGGGCCACCCCTGCCCCGCGATTAGTAGGAGTAAGGGTAAGTAATTAAGAGAAGTAGGCCAATGGGGTCATGTCAAGGGGCAAAGGGAATACATTTCTAAAGGTATCCTAAATTTATGCATACTCCAATTTACCAAGTCGAATGTCTTTCTTTCGAATTAGTTCATCTTGAAATAAATTTACTTTAAATAGAAAGGACGAGCACAACTGGTAAGATAAAGTGTCTTTCAACCAACTCCAGTCTTCGAGATTCTTGTCCGAGACTCTTTTGATATCAAATATATCAATGCGTCGATAACAGTTAATAATTCTTCCAAAATGTTCAGCGTGTAAACCGTAATAACCAGTGTCTTGAGTGTAAAAACGGTACAGTTAACAGAGATTAGTGATATCATTTTATTGTGACGTCATGGTAACAGGTGAAGTCACAATGGTCAGCAAAACATGCAATTTCATTGTAGCGATATCTCCTTGAATATATGAATAGATATTATGCACAGGTAGAATTATCCTGTGTAAGAAAAGCGATTTTCAGTGTTGATTGGACAGTTAAAGCTTCAATTGCTTCATTGTTAAAAAGATACGATATGACGTCATCCATTGTCACATTGCGCCTTCGGTGAAGTGTCTGTACGGTTGACGTTTTTAAAAAATAATTTTCACTTTTAAATTGTCAATAAGTAAAACATATATAAACAGAATAAACTGGTCCGTGAAAATCC